TTATTTTGGGGTCCCTTTTCTGGAGGCATGGATTTTGTGAAATTGCTCCACCCCACTAGTCATGGAAACGGGCTGAACCAGCCCATATAACTAGCTAACAACTTTGGATCTAGCAATATTAACTAATTTGCATCAATGGTATGTGTTCTCAACCTGCTGCACAGAACCATGACACTCTCCACACAGATGTCACAAAGAAATGCAATTACTAATAAACAAACAAATAATAGCAACAAAATAGCTCTGGGATACCAACACCGTTTCTGCAGCCAACTAGTGAGGGAGAGGGAAGTTAAATTTTGCTATTTATTCTCAGACAATTGTTATCATGAGGTCCTCTAGGAGTAACTAAAAGACTTCTTTTTTGAATGTTTCTGTCAAGACTGAGTCAACAAAGCTAAACAGGACAGTGGAGAAATTTCAGTCCTGGAGACTAGGTACGCCTGCTGGAAAGGCATGCTTTCAAAAAGACTACACAGCAATTATCTTATTAGTAGCATGCAACAGCACACAAAATTCCATGGGGGAAATTTTTACTGTATATATGTTCTCTGTCTGATAGAAAGCTCAAACGCAGACAGCATTAATCACTTTTTAATTAACGTATGGGAAAAAAACATCTATTTGTTTCAGGACAGAATATTCTGACACTTTGTATAGAAAATCCACAGCTACTCTGGAAAAGACAAACTTTCTGTAGCAGAGCACAGTTAAAGTAAAATAAAGCCTCCTTTACTCTAAAGTGATGGATGTTTTCTATTGATCCCAAGTTTACTAGGTGCACGTTAAATCTTTATATCAAAGACACATCCCTTAGACTTGGTTTAGAAAACTGGCAATGTGGAAAATACTAGCACAGGCTTTCTAGACAGCTTAGTGTCTGCTTAAGATTAATAAACAAAAACCTTACAGTAGATTGTACAGACTTATCTGAAATGCAGCTACATGGTATAACGAGACATTATTTCAGACTGCACTTCAGCTGCCCTTACTAACTATTCCTCTTCTTCAAAGGGAAACACAGAGAAAGATTTTGAAACTTCAAACTTTCAAACATTTCACCAGCACTTTGAGGCCTCGAACGGATGCATTTTACTACTCCCTGTAAAACTCACAGCTCATTTTAACAAGATATACCAGACTTCAGCCTTTTTTATCATCCTATTCCAATTTGCATGGCAATGATAGTGTCCATTCCAAAGGCAGAGATGCTGTTTTATATCCAGTTTCCTGGTACGTCATTTGTGGCCTTCTAATGGATCCAAGAGCTTCTGATCAATTCTACTTACTTTCCAAGCATTTGTGAAGATGCAGTCATGCAAACTTCAGATCAGTGCTAAACCTGACAGCTGGCTGAGAGTTTTCAAAGAATTTTAATTGCTCTTTTGGAACTGCAACAGAACTTCTCATCTAGACCGTCTTGCCAGAATCTTTGAAGCACCAGTTTTCAGATGTGAAAGTCTGAGCTTTTTTTCTCTTCTCAGACAGTTTGTTTGAAAAACACAGCACATGCATTTACAATTTGGTTCCTCTTATTATCTGGAAACAGTAATTTTAAAACAGACAGCATACTGAATTTATCTTTTGTATTGTCCCCTATTGTGTCAGAATTACACGGCTTACGTAGCTGAATGTCAAAGACAAAACCAGAGCAGTGTAGAACAAGTATTGCTCATTGCCTGTGATTTCATAAATTTTCCCAAAATTGTCTGTCCTGACTAGAAACAGTCTAAATGACAGAAGAACTTAAGCTATAAAGAAGTAAGCAATAAAAAAAATAAAACTCTTTTAGCTACTTTTCCACATTTTAGGAAGAAAATAATCTGCTTTTCTACGTTTCAAACACACATACGATTAAAGTGCTTCCAGATACTATGCCCTACACTAACAATTTTTTATTTACTCTTATGTAAATATATAAATTTATATGGATACTCAAATCAAAAAAGGAACCCAACTCTGCATAAGTTAGGCATCCATATCATTTTTTAATAAAGACTTTATGAACCAAGGTTGTTCAAGTCAAAAGGAAACTGGAAAAGCTATGTAAACTGCTTAAAAGCAAAACTAATTTCCCAATGGTATATTTTGTTATGTATCATTGTACTTTTTCAATTTCCTGTATAGGGAGATTTTAGTTGAACTACAAATTATTGGACTCAGTAGGAGATAATCAGATTTCAGTTTGTCTTAAGCTGGAAGTCAGAGTAAGTGATTATCTTCTAGCTATGAACTCTAATTAAATGTAGTCAAGAAATCTAAGTCAAACAGAGATCTTTGAAGTTTTTATGTTTAAGTAAGTAAAAAAGTCAAGGTGTTCTTGTTACTGGATACCACAAACATATTTCATTCTGAGATTTTCCTGGCGCTTCTGTTTTGTCATTTGTACTCTTCCTCTACTTCCAATCAAGATACATAGAGAAATAAAATACATGGTAAAGACATACAGGAAGTTTCGTTTCACTGTTTCTGGTAGTAGGCTTTTTTCAATTTGTTTATTTTTCCTACCAGCTTTAATTCCCATGTAAATGAACTTTTCAATTATGATACGATAAATCTATCACTGATGTAATTACTCTTTATCCAGTATTACAGCTGTGAGTGGGTGGGTGACAGTTACAGCTTGTGTTTTCTTTGAAGATATTTCAGCATGACTGTAGGGGAAATCTGAGAAGGTATGTTAATATTTTTTACTTTCCTTCAGAGTAGGAAGATTTTATGTGCATCATGGCCTACCGCCCAATATCTCAGTTGGAGAAGCAAAGACTGCAAATATTGCACATTCATTACATTCAGATGCAGTAGACATCCCGACGTTTAGCTTCCATGCCAAACAAAAAAAAAAAAGTAGAAATACTTATCCAAAAAACTCACAGCTTTAAACTATGGCATTAGATCTGTTCCCCAGATTCATATAACTTACAGTAATAAAAAGTACTTTGCATTCACAGAAAACACTCTATTTTGTAATATACTGAAAAATACTTTTTCCAAAACTTTTCTTCAGATTTTTACCCCAAACCAGGTCCAGCTGTCATAATCTGGGGAAGGAATAAAAAACACTTTAAAAGTGAAGCCCACACAGTACTGCCTTTAAGGGCTTACCTCTGTTCTCCTTCAAGCTATCTGAAATACCCTGGTTTAACTCACAAGTTACTTCTGAGGTATGTGCAAACCCAAGTTTTGATTGGAGACACCTCAGATTGCTAAGAATTCTTATTCTTGAAAATCATATATTTCTTCACTTTCATTCACACTGAATAAATCATAGTGTGTGAAGTAAAATACACACGGCTTTTTAATTTTGATGGAGACAGACATCTGTCTATTCTATTGAGAAGTAATGGGGTTATTCCCAAAGCACAGATTATGCCTTATCAATTTCTGGACTTTTTACCTTCTTCTCCACATTGGAGGTTGACAGAACCTAGACAAAAGAGCTTCACTGAACCATGGTTTGGAAGAACAGAACCTTATGGGACTGTTAACTGTTTCTCAGCATCAACCAGAGCAGTTTGACTGCTGCATTACTGACTTCATTGTTTCAGAATATGTAAACTATATTTTAAATAGGTAGTCTGGTAGGATTCTGGGCAGGATTTTCATGCTTTATTGTGAAATGTAAAGAGATGAGACACTTTCAGATGATGTGTAAGTATCAGCACCTCCTCCACCAGGAAATACTGGAAAGCTGGAAATATAAATTCATTAATCTTTTTATGAGAGTTCAGATCAATCATATTCCTTTTTTCTTTCTTTTTTTTTTTTTTTTCTTCTTTTTTTTTGTCTTCACAGTAGGACAAAATCTTTTTTTTTCATTAGGACTCTGAAGCAATTAAAAAAATTCTGCTTCCTATTCTTCTGCACAAAAGCTTTGACCAGGGGAGTCTCAAAGCCTAAGACTTCAGTTTGTTACCATTCCACTTCTCACATACTTCCAAAGTAAAAGACTATCTGTAGCTCTCAATTGTACTACTAGAGAAAAAAAGGTTAGAAGAACCTCATGTTTGTAGAACAGGAAACGAGAAGACAGCAGGGCAATACTTCCTCTAATTAACAATATTTTGTAAAACCAAAGTGAACTTGTTAAGGATGGGATGGGACTGTGCTTACAGAAGCAGAACAGGATATCTCTTTTAGCTAGTGCCTCCTGTAAAATAATTCATGAGTACATACTAAATCTTTCAAAATTTCAAGACATTTTAAAAATAATTCTGCTGAGTAATTTTAGCCCAGTATCCAAACTCTTCAAATTCAATAACTGAATGTGGGATTTCCTTACTTTTTCTTACAGAAACACACTGTCCCAGTAAAACAGCAGGTTCAGTGAAAAGTACAAAGCTCAAAAATGACATATGTCCTCATGAAGAATTTCCACCACTGGAGTGCACTTCAAGACAAGAACTCAGGACCATAATTAGACAAGTATCATGACAACATTCAAGAAGAAAGAAACTCCACCTAGAAATGTTTAGGATACCTTACACTGCAAGAGAAGACAGTGTGATTGAATAAAATATCATTGTTTTAAAAAGGAAAATTATTTTGTAGAAACATTTTGAAGATTCAGACTTGAGGCTCAGTAAGAATAGTGTCTTTGGAAAGGCAAAACCTCGTAGTCAAGAAAAATGTCCACAATTTTTATTTATCAGAATATATTTTATTGCCAACGAGTACAAAATTGATGCTGTCATCCCCTGAAGTCTCATTTTAAAGATAAAGCTTCTCCTTCACCACTTTTAAAGACTTGTAAATACAGTAATTAGTAATGAAGAAAAAAAAAAAGCAACAAAAAGAAAAATTGCAACAATAAATTAAAAGAAAGAAAAGGCAAGGAGGAGAGAGGCAGACAACTTTTTGAGGAGGAAATGTGTTAGAAGAAACAAAATAGTTCTGAAGTGGAATCAAAATATAATAGTATATTTTTCTTCCAAGAGAAGTTTGGATTTTTTGCATGTGAAATAAAATAGCAGCAAAGAAAAAGGATAAATACAAGTGCATGAATGTCCCACTGGAACTTGCTTTTATTAACCAAAACAGTAGTACTCATCTGAATCAATTTTGGGATGCTTATGTGAGTCTTCCATAATAGAAGAATCACTGAACTGGTCTACATCAGAAGGTGTTTGGTGACCAGGAACATCATCAACTAAAGTGTCCAAGTAACTTCCCACTGATATTCCATCCAGACCATCACTACAGTCCTGTAAACTGCTACAGCTGCCATGGAAGGATGTGTCCTGACTTTCCAATAAGCTGCACAGGCTGCCACTCAAACTGCTCCCTCTGCTGGCAATGCCTTTCTCTTCAATCATCCACTTGATTGATTCAATACTTTCATTGATGATGAGTAGTTGTCGCATAAGTTTCACATCAGTGGCACGGAGATTAATCTACAAAGCAAAAGTAATAAAAAAGATTACTGATTTTCTCTAAAATCGAACTCCAAACAACAAGCTGGAGGCAATAGATGGATTAAAATCTCACATTTGACATCTATTTAAATACTCAGTTTAAAAAAAAAAAAAAAAGTATTTCTACACTTTCATAGAATCATAAAATCTCCAAAACTGGAAGAAACTCACAAAGATGAGTTCAACTTGTTGCTCCACATAGGATCATGTAAAAATCAATTTTTCTGAGTTGTCCGCAAGTTTCTTGAACTCTGGAAGATTTGGTGCCATGACCATTGCTCTGGGGAACCTATTCCAGTGTCCCACCACCTAATACTCAATCTGACTCTCCCTTTCAGTGAAGTTCAAGTGGGAATCTGATCAGACTATATAAACAGTCCATTAATAGGAATGGTAATCAACAAGACTTGTACAGATGCTACTACAATACTATTATTGGATGAAAAATATTTACTATGATAATTTCTGGGGATAACTTCTACTATTCAGAAAAGTGTAACATAAATCTGTGTCCATTTAAAACTACTTTCAGCAACTGAGCAGATATAAGTAGCTAGGCATTTACCTCAGGTCCTTCTTGTTAAGCCTACTAGGGTAATCTAAAATTTTCAGATGTGAGTTATTTGGAAAAAGGTTTATGAATCCTTAACATTTATTCCTGCTGTACCATTGCTCATGTTGCAAGCTGCAGAACAAATTCCTGAGAGTAGAAACAGATGCGCTTGTTAAAACTGTAAAATTCAAATAATTTAAACTCATATTTGATGAAAGTTATTAGTCCACAAAGTCTGAAAGCGTGGCAATTTGTGCAAAATAACTAATTAAAATACACACTGAGTCCTACTTCACAGCTTAATTGTCGTGGTTCATGCATACAAATAGAAGTGTAATAGGTAAAGGATTAATTGTAATTCCTAATGCCTGTATCATGCTAATGGTAAACGCATATTACAGTGCTGCATTTCTCAGATATAATAAATAAACAACCTTTATGCTTCTCTTATTAGACAAATTTAACAAACCACTTTTACTGAAATTTCTACAATGAGATGACACATAAAATTGAGGCCTTAGTGTTTAATTAATAATTTATCTCCTCTTTGTTATCTGAAATAACCAGTGTTTGCAAAAGGTTTCTCTGGAATCTCCTATTCACCTCATGAAACAAGTGATAACACTGAAAAGGTAATCTAATAAACTGAAGATAATTCAGGTTTTGCCCATGTGGTCAAGTGTGGAAAGCCACAGGGTACTGCCATTCCTGGTGTGATCTGTGGAACAACTGCACAGTCATACAAGGGAGTCTCAGCTAAATCCTCATAAGAAAACAGTGTTAGTCTGCAACCTTGCCAGTGCTGCTGCCCTTTGCAATAGCAGCTCAGAACTACTACTAAATGTCTGATGTATCAATAGAACCAAATCCTCAGTGAGATCTGGGCCTAGATAAACTTTTGCCACAGTGTCAACATAGGGCATACTTGTTTAAAACCACTGGAAAAAGACTTGATGAATACATGGGACATCATGTCCAGCATGTAATTTGTGTCATATTTCATCATGTTCTTTAATTGTACTGATAAAGCACACTACATGCTTGATACATCAACAATTTAAGACATGCACTGAGTATACTTCTCTACATAAATCTGTGCCACAATCTCTAACACATTAACACGCACTAAATACTTCTCTTACATAGATCAATAACATCTTAGCTTTCCAACAACTCAAAAGACAAAACAGTATATTGAAAATTTCATCAATAGTATGATCTTCTATGCCAGACAGTAGGCACTTTACGATATTCTCCAATTATTACATAGAAGTCAAGCATTTATATTGTTGACTGGAATCAAATCAGAATTCTCAGGAAGAAATGGCACTGTCTTTTTTCTGCCAAGAGTAAAATTTGGATGTGTTTTTTTACATACTCAAATGCCAGTTCTTCTCAATATCCCAAATTACACTGACACGATATGGTTTTCAAAAAAATATTAATGCATTTTTACTCTGTTAGACACAACAGAAGATTGCACAGGCTCTGGTTGGGATGCTTCAGAGTGCAGATACTGTATTTCAGCTCAGTGAACAAAACACAGAGTACCAATGTTTTAGCTATTGCTGAACAGTCCTTTTGCAGTGTCAAGACCTGCTCTATTTCTCACTGTCAAACAGGCTGGAGATGGACAAGAGGTTTGGAGGGGACAGTTGGAACACTAACCAGAAATAACCAAAGGGATATTCCAGGCCATATGGCTGCGCTCAGCAACAGAAGACTGGTTTGGTTTTCCCAATAGCTACTGCTTGAAAACTCTCTGTGCATCCATTTGCTAGCAGGAGATAATGAGTGATTACCTTCAAGCTTTGCTAATACCAGACTGTCTGTATAATTTTCAGATGTGTTCCTGGTCATCTTATCCAGTTCCTAAAAAGACTTCTGTAGTAGCCTCACTCCAGTACCACAGAATTTAACATGCAAAATAGCTTTATCACTTACTGTTTTAACAATAATGTTCATCTATCACTGTTTCAGATGTGAGGTTTTGAAAAGAGATTGACCATTCTGTATCTCTCATTTTTAAGTCAGTTCTTCTACTCCTACCCATAAATCACTATAAATCATTTGTTCAGCAACAACGCTGTTGTGACAGCAGCAAATTACCCAGCTTCCCAATTGCAACTGTAGACTTCAGTAATTTTGTTGTATATAAGCATGTATGGAGACCACAATTTCCCAAAAGGATGATTAAAATGAAGTTTAATGGAGCTAACAGCAATACATCACCAATGAAACAACTACTTTTAGGTACGATGGACATCTCATAAGTTTCAGATTCAGTTGGCTTGATTCCTTCCTCCAAACTGACACTTAGTCCCAAGTCTCCTATACCAAGAGTGTACTTTTCCTAAAGCAAACACTAAAAAGAAGTCTGCAAGTGTCATCTTTCTTTAACAATGTTTTTCTCATCTATGACTTTTATTGCCTTCTGCTTTAGCCCAGGAATAATTACATAAGTTGGTGCTCAAATACACAGCTGCAACTTACTTGTCTGTTAGAGTTAACGAGTATGTTCCAAAAGGGGTCAATCAGAGGGTCTAAAAACAACACAATCTCATTACATTTGACAGCTTCATTTGTTATGCACAGTAACAGGTGCACTTCAGAAATAATCTGAATGGATTGGATCATAGTTAATATAGGTATTCCAGAATAGTTTCCACAGAGTTTAAGGTAGAGCACAGCACCACTACAGGGAAGGTGCATATCTTAGCATACAGCAATAAGGATACTTTGATAAGACAGAGAAAATCAAATTCTGGTTACAGGCTTGCTTATGTATCTTGTTGGATAGTTTGGATATTTCAATATACATATCTTAAATGTATAACATTGAATGGGTAGTCAGGGCAAGAAAAAAGACTGAAAATGAAAATGACCACAACGACCTTTTGGTTAACATGGTCTGGTAGCATAGACTGATTAGTACATAACAGATTAACATTCAGACACTATCAGACCTTCAGTGTGGAACGGATATCTGGCCTGAACCACCTGTACATGTTTCATACAACTCTCCTCCACTGGTTGTTCTAATAAAAGACTGCTTCCTTTACACACATAGCCCTGCTTATGGTCCTCCATAATCAGAGGTGCAATACTGTCAGCACATCACACATATGACTCCATTACACAGACAATTTATTTATATATGCATATATATATATCTACGAACACACACGTGTGTACACATACACATCTGTGTACACTCACACAGAAACATATAACACAGACATATACAAGTATTTCCATTATTTCTATGTGTACAGTGCTTTTCAGAAAGGATGTGAGTAGGTTACCGATTTTAGTAAAAACTCATGATTAGGGCTGTTAACAAAAACTATTAACATCTCTTGGCAACTCCCCAGAACAATACATTAGCTGTCTTAGTTTAGTCATTTTACCTTTGAATCAAAGTCGCACTTGCAACTTGGCAAAATGGATTTGTGTTTTCCAGCCATGTGTTCTGAAGGTATGGTTTCCAGTCAGCTCCACATACCATGAGTCTCCCTCACCTCCAAACCAAGAAAGCTAAAAAAAATTCAATACAATGTGTCCTTTTAATCTCTCAAACCTCACTAGTTCACTTCCTTAGTTCGCTCTCTTTTAGATTCCTGGATTCATGCGCTTCTTTTTCTTCTTCTAACTACAGGAATTCTGCAGTGATACTAACAACAATTATAAATAGTGGTCTGAGGAAAAGATATTCCAAAGTTTATTTAAAAGATATTCCTTTTTTTTTTTTTTTTTTTTCACTCAACGCCTTTATGCTGTGTGTTGCAACGAGTCCATCAATAAAGAGAAAGAAAATGAGCATGCTGATATAACCAAGTATTTCCTTCAGGACCGATCATTTAGAGCAACAGGCAGTAAGTCACGGTAAGACAAGGAGTCGTAAACCTACAGTCTAATGGATTCAAGGAGTTATTTAAGTCATCTAGATCAGATACCAAGCTCTGCACAGGATCCTTTGTAGGACTCAAACACCAATCAAGGACTGGACAGCATGGAATTCATATTTTTGAAGCAGTATAATTTTGGACAGCTATCACACAGTAAAGTGGAACTGCATGAAAGCAGTCACTGCAGGGAGCTTGGTGGCCCAGAGCATGAGCAGACTTGTAGAAAGAATTAACACAATAGAAGGTCAGACTCAATGGGTACTGGAGCTAATTCCACCTGCTGTTAATACTGACACATCCATCTGTATTGCAATTTTTACAAACAGAATTTAAACTAAGAGAGTCTTTCCATGCTTTCCAAAGGCCTTTATGACACTACAGTTCAGGAGTATTAGTGTTATTGCTTCCTGACTTTCTGAGGGTATGCCACGGACAGCTTTCTGCTTTCCTATTCACTTTCCTGCGTCATTCAGGATAAAGTTTTAGTTACCCACCTATGCCTATAACTCCTTTCTTTCTTTACCTCAGTTTTTCATGGAATAATGAATTCCATGAATTTATCTGAGATATAAAATATATAAAAATATATTTGTCAATGTTTAAACAATAATTTATTTTTAATCCTGAGAAGTCAGCTTCTTCACAAGAACCAAGCTTATTTTGGTCAGACTGTGTGAGACAAAGTAAGAAGACCAAATTTAGTAAGCAAATACAAAAAATTATAAAATTCGTAAGTAAAACATCAACCAATTCTGTGTGAGAATTGCATTACAAGCTAGAAAGACACTTAGCAATTTATTTGAACTCCAATACTCAGAATGTGCGAATCAATTAAGTTACTTAATTAGAATCACTGAGCTCACACACTCACAACAGGGTTAAATGTGGTCACAAACACACAGCCTTTGCTCACTAAGCAACAACTATAAAATGTAGCACATATGACATGAAGGTTAGCAGGCTCAGAACGATACTGAAATAGCTTCTCAACAACAGTGAGAGAGAGAAATGCCTCTTCTTCCATTTAACAGATCTAAAATAAAACCACCTTTTACAAACAAGGGTAAAATTCCTGATTCTTAAATATACAGAGTAATTAATAGGCTGTGCACAAGTTCCAACCCACTTTAATTAGCACATAGTCATGTGCAAGATTTTAAATCTGCCAGTTTCAAAACTGCCTAACTTACTCAGGATGTTTGCATGAGGTTCTTTACATAATTAAACCACTTTGGGCAATGGTGTCTAGTTTGACTTCTGAATTTGAACACAGTCTTCAGCATTACCTGTTAACAAGCTAGAGAGATTTTACATCCTAGAGTGCAAGCAAGCACACAAGTTAATCATCCCCAGCCAGAAGGAATCATCTACTCACAGGTAAAACTGTAACTGCTTGTCAGAATGCTCCACATCTACTCCATCACAAAGTGAACCAGTATTCATTAATTCAAGCACTGCAATGGTTCCATCTAGTCCAACCAACCAGCCTGATACTGTGTGAGCTCTCTCATTTGATAAGTTTCTTAAGAAGCATATAAAAACGAGGCAGAAACAAAGTTCAGCCTCAGCCTCAGAGATAAGATAGTCAGTAGGTTGAGGTAAATGCTCCAGTTCTCATCCATGCCATGTGTATCAGACTGTAATTTACCTCACACTGATCTGTGTAAAACACATCCCTTCTTTAAATTTCAGTCAATAGTTATACACATATGAGGGCTGCTCTGAAAGTAATGCCTCCTATTTTATTCTTCTGGCCCATGACATCAGAGCCAGATGTTAGTGATATGACAGTACGGGTTGAACAAATATTCCATTTCATTTTGTTGCAGTGTGATGGCAGCAGAGGGGCAGTCTAAAAAAAATGGAAGTATGGATGAAGCAAAGGTATGGAATTAAACTCTTCCGTGTGGAACACATGGCACCCATTGACATTTATTGGCACTTGCTGAATGCTCATGGAGACCAAATAGTGTGCAGAGAGCTGCTGGGTGGGGCATTTCAGCAGTAGTGACAGCAAAATGAAATACAAACCATGTTCTGATGGCCATGCAGATTTTCACAAGCACGGCATGCAGGCTCTTGTTCATGCTGGTGGAAAAGCATAAATAATGGTGGTGACCATGTTGATGAATATTGTTTTGTAGCTGAGAATATCCTTCAAGGAGTGTTATTGTAGTCTTTGCATATGTTGTACTTTCCATGAAAATAAATAGGAGGCATTACTTTCAGAGTGACTTAAAAAGACGAACAGCTTTCTTCCCTTCTATTGTCTTCCAGCACGGATTTGAGTCACAAGGCACTACTGAATGTTTTTTTTTACTTCTTTCTTGTGTTTTTCATGGTTGTGGTAATCTCCAAGCAATACAAGGCACATACAAAGGCTACCTAAACAAATTTCACTTTATCAGAACTGTCTTTGATGTGAAGTTGCAGTTTACTGATCAAGTTCATTTCCGCAAGCAGAGCAAATTACACTGACCTTTCTCAGCCACATTTTTGTAATGAGTCACTATAAAAACATTCTTACAGAATGTTACAGAAGCATTCTTGACAGCTTACTTTTTCCATTCTTTTGCAAAAAACAATTATTTATTTTTGTGTTACTTGTAAAGACTCAAAAAATTAAAATTCATAGTAGATTTTTAGGCAGCATTCACTTCAGCCACTGAAATCTTAGCTGTTAGAAAACAAGCAGCTATTAAGTTTTCAGAATGTGCTCTTGATCTTGTTAGCTTAAAAAGAAATTCCAGCCTAGTCATCATCTCTTCTCAACCTGCTGCAGTTCCAAAGCAATCCTGAACCAAGTGTTTACAATACATATTACTGCAAGTCTTTGTATAAAATTTGGTAGTAACATAACCTAGCTTGGCAAATAAGGTTTCTAAACTTGGAGGCAGGAAGAGAGGCCATGTTATCTGACATCACCTAGAGAACATTCTCCTTATACAAACAGAATTCTGTACTTCAAGTCAGAGGAAGAAAAAACACCTGAAACCAAAATCTCATTACCTAAAACAAGGAAGTGATTAGATCATACCTGAGCCACCACCAAAATAATCAGAAGGCAGAGCACTCAGTTAAGTACTGAGAGTAATTCAACAAACTAGTTTCAAAGGCATGTCTTGCAAGTATATGAATAAAACAATATGCTATTACGGTTATCTTTTGATACAGTAAACTACAGTACTGGTTATTTACATTTCTCCTACAAAGTCCTACGTCCATATGTGAGTTTTTTACATACTTATTGATCCCTTCAGACATGCAGGAAAACATAAGCCATCAAGTTGTGCAATTGTTTAATTACATTACCTGTCTAATAAAAAATTGGAACTTAAGGTCTTTTTCCTCCTTTCTGGAATCTACATCACACTTGCTTCTGACTGTGGACAACTTATCATTTGCATTAACATACAGTAAAATCTTCATGATTTGGAGGCCTTTTTATCTTATTGTGAAAAAGAAGAACCTAAGCATAAAATCTAAGTAGATATAGTGACTGTTATCAGAGAGAAATATATTCCATAGAGCTAATAGCAAATAACAGAAGAATAATAAAAAGAAAAAGGTAATTGGTTAAGTCTGTACTCCCTGCCTCAATAAAATAAAGGCTAAAACAGAACTTTAGATATTGAAGCACTGAGAGAAAAATCAAGTCTCAGAAGGACGAATGAATACAAAACTTCCTGCAGATTATTTTAAAGCTTAGCTGAATTTACATGAAAGGAAGCAGTGAGGAACTGTAACAGTTTGAGTAAAAAGTTTCTAATACAGCATGAAATTTTCACTGAATATTTCAAACTATC